GAATAAGAAACTGACACAGTAGCTCTAGATAAGGAATAATATGAAACAGCTCTTGTTTTTGAAAATATTCCTATACCTTAGCACCCTGCTCTCTTAGGTTTCTTCTATTTACTTTTCATACATAGTTTCTTCAAGTTTCCCTGGTCCCGATGTCAGCAGCCTTTCTCTGTGGTTTTTCAGGTATCCCTTCTCTTATATGCCATCAAGTTAAAGTCATGTCTACCTTTCATTTGCAGCTGGATCGAGGAAGCAACATGATCTTTTGAGTCAAATAGATAGATGACTGAGGCCAGGTTAGCCACTGAGCTAACTTTTTTTTTTAAACAAGATTTCTTAACTTTTTTTGAACATCATCATTTTTTAAAGAACAAAAGTCGTCAGTGTTTGAGGGATTTGAGGTGAATGTGTTGAGGCTTCATTCTGCAGGAGAAATGACCTTACAGAAAGATATCTATGATTTATCTCTAAAAGCAAATTAATTATTAGAGCTAAAAAAAAAGAGGATATGTATTAAATACTGTGTTGGTGAGCCTAGAATAGAGACACATGTACAGACTGGAATCCAAGCCAGCCTGGGAACCGGGAAATTTAACAAATGCACTTTTAGTGCTACAGCCCCAATTTAGCTCTTTTCACTAAACGTACTATTCATTTAACTTTGCTCTTACAGATTTCACACTTGCAAGGCATCTTATTTTCCCCTACCTAGGGAGAACTGGCTGCTTCTTCAGTTTTTTTTTTTTTTTTTTTGGCTAGTATTATTTAGTACAGATCCAGCCTCTGAATCAATGAATTTAGTGTTTAATTTTAAATTATTCATTCAATAAATATTTATCTTCTATTCATGAAGAGTCTACTATGTCCCATGTACTAGATTTGTTAATGGGTGTGCAGTGTTGATCAGAACTGGTTCCTAACTTCACATAGGACTACTTTATTAGGAAACAGACATACTGACACTCACACGATTACAGAATAATTAAGTGCAATCAAAATAAAAATCTATTCCAAGCCTAGAAATAGAAGGGAAGGGATCATGGACCAGAGATAGATCATTAGGATAATGAGGCCCTCTTTGAGAAAACCATATAGCCTGTGTCTCTTCATTTGTTTCAACTTTATTTCATTTCCATAACCACCACAATCAAAGGTCAATGAGAACATCAAGTGATATAATGTATATACCACAGGCATTAGATAATAGCTTTTTTCTATTCCTACTTCTCCAAATTACTCCAATTATGACTTCTAAAGATTTTTTCCCTCTATATCTTAACAAATAATTACTTGGGCAAACATCAACAGCATGAAATTGTAGTGCAAACACAAAGCAGAAGAAAGGCTGTGAAGAAATTATACTGATAAACTTTAGTAAAATCCAGATTTTAAAATTCTTTGAAAAAATAATATACACACAATTTTCCATTCATCATGTATTAAAACCTGGAATCTATAAAAATAAAAAAGCTTGATAGCTTTATTTCCACATTTTATGAATCCTGCTGATGTTCCCTATTCTAATAAAAATATAAAACAGTAATAAAAGAAACTAAAGTTACTAAGCTGGTAAGTTATGCCACTATAATGAACTGTAATGGGGGTATTTTGTTTGAGTTTAAGATCAATATGATTTATTACCAGATGCTCTACTGATAAAGCTGATAATGTAGTAATCAGAGAAGTAAAATTCACCTAGAGTTTCACATATGTTTTCATCTCTACTTATAAATTTAATTTATTGTAGCTTTGCTTGATACACCAGCTCCTCAGTGTAGGAAAACCCAATGGGACACATTATTTAGTACCGCTTTAATGTTACTAAATTCCACTATTACACAAAATCTATAGAGCATAAGAAATGGGAAGAAAAAGCTCTATGATAAAGAATAAAGACTGTATGGGATAAACAATTTTTAACGCCTCCTATTATTTTCAATCTGTTATATAATTCACTTTCCTCCTTTTGTTCCACCACAACAGCATCTTGCCCTCCTTTTCTGTGATCAGAACTTGATCTATCCCCTCCAGTGTCCAGAATGATCTTGCTCCCACATAACTATCAGCTAACTTTCATACTCTCATCGCTCAAAACCCATTTTTTCTCTCTGACTTTCCAATGATTGGAGGCTTCTACATTTTAAAATAAATCCAAGTCTGTCTTTTAGAATGAGAGTTATCTTTCATTTACCTATTTTCTCAGCCAAACTCTTCAAATTCTTCCTATCTGCTCTCTCCAGTATTTATCATTTACATCCTCTCTTTCCTTAATACTCTGAAAAATGACATACTTACCTACCACTCTTTCTTGAAGCCTCCAAGAGCTGGTCCTATTCTAAGCCCCATTCTCAGTCGTGTGGCTGGCTCACCAGCAGGAGTATCTGATTCTGCAGAATTATTTCTCCCAGAATTTCCTTTGGCCTTTCACCACAGTGGCCCTCTGTGGCTTTTATTGACTTCTTTAGGCTTCTAAATTTTTCTTGATCTCATTTCCATTGTCCACTGGGTCATTTTCACGATTCTCTATGTTTTTTTAATAATATTAACTACTCAAAAATTGTTGCCTTAAGTCCTCCTGCTCCATATGATTTTACTCTGTATTAATTTAGTTCCTCTAAATATGTCATTGGAACTTCAGAATAATGCACATTTTGTTAATCACCATCTTCCTTTCTAGTTTTGGTCTTTTTTCTCAGCTTCTTATATGGGGGTGTTACAAGTTCCATCTCCTCCTCACTCATACTGGAAATTCTGGCACCATCTTTGATTCCTCCTGACCCCATTATTCCATTATCTCAACAGACACAAAATCCCATTAAGTTTGATCTCAACTGGGAGTCACATCTGCTTCCACATCATCATCCTATGTCACTACTAGGTCCTGCTCTGATGGCATCTCTTGAGCAACATAATGGCCTCCAAAGTCTGTTGTCTGTTATTCCCTCCTTTTCAAACCACTGTGCACAGCTCTCAGATAACTTCTTTTTGAAGATCCAAATTAAGACTTCTATGTTCAAATGCATTCCAATAGAAGACAAAGATCCTTCACCATCAAAGCTCTCCAAGAATTGGTTCCGTTCTAATCTTCCAACTATTCTTTCTTACACAAGTACCAGTCTAATTGAATTCTTGTGCAGTAAGTAATGTCTTGTTCTTCCATCCTTATTATCTATGCTCATGATGTTCTATTTGAAAGCCATTTTCTCATGTCTGTCCTCACATCATACTTATCCTTCAATGCCTATTTTATATGCTACCTTGGACGTGACGGTACCATTTATTGAATGATCATCATGTGCTAGGCACATAAAGCTCTACAGGTGTCAATCATTGTATTTTAAATTGACAAACAACTCCTAGTTTCAGATGGGGAAATAGTCTCAGGAGAATGAGCAATTTATTCAAGGCATCCCTGTTGGATGGTAGGTAGGCCTGTGATTCTAAAACTTTCTGAACCTAGTTAACCACTGTAACTTGCCCTTCACTTACTGCTCTTCATAAATACCCTCAACTTCATTTGTTTTTTATAACATTTATTACTCTGTACCTCATTTCATGGCTTTAATTTACATGACAAATGTTCTAGTTACTATGTGGACGATCTCTGGAGAGCTCGTGTCTTTATATATTATGTTTACTTCATAAATGCTTATGCCTGAATGGGTAAATTTACTATTCCTCTATTAGAAATGTACCATGTGTTTCTACTATCCACTTCATCATATATTAATTACATCTTCTGATGAAGTAATCAGTGATTTTGAAATTAGATGCAAATGTTTATTTTCCATGATGTCTCCACATGAACCACTACTCTAAATAAGTTCAAATGTACACTCTCTAAAACAAAATGCCCATTGCCAGCTCTACCTTTACTCTTATGCTTTGTTTTTGTGGGCTGTCACCTGCCTCTTCCCAAGCAATGCATGAATCTTTTTTCAAAGTTCAGCAAAAGAAACTCAAACTTACAAATGTCTCCATAGGCAAGTGACTATTACATTGATAAATATTTGGAGAGGATAATATTATTTTATGATACATTATTCAATAGCTGTCAAATCTCCACAGATTCCCAGGTCTCTACAGAAGTTCATTCTCATATTGCAAAGCTTTTAGCACACTTGTAAAAATTACTAGTGACTGTTAGTGGGTCTAAGCGTATGAATGAAGGTTATTTTCATATAAAGTAAACTAAAGCAGTTAAATCAGAAAAAATGGATAAAAAATTTTAAATGACTTAATTGTTTGTGCCCACTCTGTAGGGCTGTCACAAGAAGTTGATCCTATACTATTATTTCAACAAAAAACACACAAAACTATTCATGGAGTTAAAATTTAAAATTGGCCTCTAAAACAATACCATGATTTTCTTAGTGAATACTGATCTCAAGTGTTCAGTTCTCAAGATGGCAAAAACAATCCATTTTACATCTTATGTGACCTTGTCTTCTCCATGTGACTTATATCTGGCAAGGACATAGAGATGCGCACAGTAGCATTTATAATATTATCCTTCTTTTATTCTTCATGGTGGATGGTATGAGTTCAAACAAAATAGGGAAGCTTCATTTTAGAATGAGAGCTCTGGAGTTCACAGAATATCATCAAGTTCTCTCGTTTTCTATGATGCATCGTGCGAGCTCAGCCCTTATAATCCCCTGACTCTAAGCTAGAAATTTACAGGAGGAGCAGGTCTGCAAATTTCTAGTGGTCGGAGTGTGCACAAACACTCCTATTTTCCTTAAATAGCCTTAGTAACACCTTCTCAAGGGAAAGGCAATCACTGCTTAGCCTTAACATGCATTCCTTTTAATTCTACCTGTGCTAAACCAAACCCTAGTCACTTCAACAAGATATTTAATTAAACAGAGTCAAGGTCAATACAATTCTGAAAGGAACATTTGTTTAAGCTAATTGATCAGATTTGCCTTTGATAAGCCCAGCATGTCCTAAAGAAAGTCACAGAGAGGCACAGGGGTGAGAGGGGATTTTGGGACACATACATTTCCGTGATGGTCTCTGGCAGATTGGTGGGGATTTCAGTGAGACCTTTCCCTCGGCAGTCGACGATATTATTACTACAGGTACAGGCAGCTGGACAGTGCAAAACACTGCAAGAAGGAGCCATAAATGACTGGTGACCTGAAAAAGAAAAAAGCAGCCAGCAGTTGTACTTTTCCTCTTGAGTACGTAATTGCGAAGCATGCAAATCTATGTCAACGAACAAGGCATGTTATTAAATGGAAACACATTTCTCTAAATGCCTGATTATAAAGCAATCCAACGCGACTAAAATACATTTTAGAAAACATGGATTTGTATGTTTCATGGAGATGTAGATGAAGCAAATGAGACTTTAAAACTACTTACGACAATGATTTCTACAAGACAGGTAATTAATTGTGAGGAAGGCTAAATTCCAATTCAAAACTAGAACTGTAGTCAAAATTAGTCAACATTCCAAAAACAAGGCAACGATTTCAGACTAGATTTCATTTCTAAAAAGCTTAATAGAACTTGATCTTTATTGAACTTATATAGCTTAACATTATCTCAAAAAAAAAAAAAAAAGGAAAACAGTAAAATTTCCATCTTGGTAGATGTAAAGGTTGATCTAATGAAGTAATCATGTACCAATTAAGGTGGGAAAATGAAAGCATGCTACGTTTGATGTCTTATTTTGAAAAGTTTAAAATCCCCACTTTTCTTTGAAGTTATTTATTATAATAATTTACATCGTGTCATTCTGTGATTGTTAATCTACATGGTCTAAATGTATCGGTATTATGAAGGTACATACTCCAGGTACATGTTTTTATGACTCAGTATTTGAAAACAAAACTAGTTTGAAAGGAGATTTTACTGTTCGAATGACAGGGGGGTCAGCAGTGTCGTGCCAGGCCTAGTGACCAGCGCAGGGACAGAGCCTTGGCCAGGGGACACCCAGCCAGGAAGTCTGCAGCCAGTTCCCAGCTGGAAACCTGGCCACAAGCTCTGGAACTTTACATAACAGTCTCAGTCTTAAAAAGAAGTGTGAACTTGCCTTCTTCCTCTTCTATAAAACGGGAAGGAAAAAAGCGAAGAGAGAAAAAAGTGGTTAGTAACAAATTGTTAGTTGCTTCATTTAAAAAAAAAAAGAAAAGCAATCAGATTTATTGAGAACATTTCATGACACTGTAAGAAAATTTTCTTTGGATTATAAAAAGTTTGGGAAATACATAAGGCCCAAAAGATCACAATGAAATGGAATCTTGTACTAACTCATCTCCTTCCTTTAAGAAATTTTATTTACTACTTAGAATGTACCATATATTTAAAAAAACGTGTTTTATTATATTTCAAATAGACACTTCTGAAACAAAAACAGACCCATATTTATGAAATAAATTATATCAATATGGATCAATATAATATTAACATAATTTTATAAATATGTATATATGTATGTATTTATGCACATACTCTCCTTGGATTGAACTATAAAACCTTGGACAAGGTTGCATAGTATCTCGTTCTCAGCACTTTAATCTCTAATATAAAGATAATATATTTCTCCACAGGTGTTACAAGGGAGGTGAAATGAAATCAATATTTGTGAAATATTTACACTGGTGCTTATGCCCACAGAGAGAGCTAAGAAAACCTCACCTGCTGACATTTCACATCACCCACAGCTTAGTTTATAGTTTTCAGGTGTTTGTCCCTAAATTCAGTGTGTATCTCTCTGACGCAGAACTGAACCACCACTACATCTGCAGCATACACAAAAAACTTGTCACTGCCACTCTAGCTGAACAACTTTTTTTTAAAAATATTTACTTATGCATACAAGAACTGGGGTGCAGGCCAGAGATGTGGGTGGTGAGAAGATTCACCAGAGACAGAGGGGGGAGCGGAACAATTGGATCCATTGAAATACACTGATGCAGGGAGCAGCAGGCAAGACAGGAGAGGTCTGCTGCACCATGTGGGCCACCTCTCTGGCCAGGGCTCAAACTCCTGCTGTGGTGGCTGCAGACAGCTTCATAGTGCTGCATCTTAACCCCTTGCGCCACCAGGGAAGGCGCAGAACAACTTTTTCAAAATGTCTAATCAGGGAACCAGGATTAGTGGCTCATTTTTCCAATTGTTAAAATCAAAGTGGACCTAAATTATTACTTAGAGGGAAAATACTGAGTAACAAATGGAACTACAATCAAAGAACATCTCCCAACTTCCCCGGAGTGAAAAGCTTAAACATTTTCATCCTCACTGCGGTACAAGACATCAGTCTTTGCCCACTGTTCACACACAACTGAGGAGGTGCTAAGGAGGGAGCAGCACACAATCGGACTGGGAAGATGGACCCAAAGCCTCTTGCTTTCTTACCACTGCAGACAAATTCTCGTTTCTGGACCTCGGCCACGTTGTGGCCCCGCAGGTGGGCCGGGCCCATGCACTGGGTGTACAGGCCTACGCGGGGCCTCTGGCGCAGCCAGTCGGACAGCCAGGCCAGGTGGCAGTCGCAGTACAGGCTGTTGGAATGGAGTCGGCTGCATGGGGGAAGGGAGTTGGGAGCGAGAAGACAGAAAACAATTATTTCAAAACGAAAACGTGGTGAATCACGATTATCACTTTGTTTCTTAACACAGAAGAAGTTAAAGCTCAGCAAGTTCTTATTTTTTTTTTTAAGATTTATTTATGCATACAAGAACTGGGGTCCAGGACAGAGGTGAGGGGATTCACCAGAGACAGAGTGGGGAGCCGATCAGGCAGGCTGACTGAAACACACTGCTGAGAGGGCCAATGGGTGAGTCAGGAGAGGTCTGCTGCACCATGTGGGTCGCTCCCTGGCCGGGGATTGAACTTGTGCTGCAGAGGCTGTGGATAGCTTCATAGTGCTGTGCTTAACCCCTTGCGCCACCAGGGAGGTCCTCCGGCCCCCGCCCCGGTCTAATTATTTTTCTAAAAATTAAATTGGTTTAAAAGTAGAGAATTAAGCCTCTCTTCATTTATCTCTAGGCTAAGCAAATATACAGGAACTTGAACATGGCCATAAAAACCTTTCAACCCATGTTCATTCAAAGTGGTAAAGAGAAACAAATACAAGAGTCCGCATACTGGACCTCAGTGGGGCTGGGGCTGGGGCTGGGGCTGGGCATGGGGTGGAGGGCGAGGCAGGGGAAGGTGTGTGCATAGAAGTCGTGGCACCCAGTTTGAAATATTAGTTAGTCTTGTCATTATCAGTCTCTGCAGAAACTGCTTGCAAAATCTTTTTAGCAGGTCACTTTCATTTTTTGCTGAACAAGTCAGAATAATAATTCAATATAAAACACTTCTTTCACATCTCTAGTCTGATTTCCTTCTTTTTGTTTAATCGCAGAAAAGGGGATTAGCTGCTTTTTGGCTCTTTTGAACTTATCCTCAAAGAGCAGGAACTGAAATTAAAAGACATAAATGGCTGGGAGTGAAGGAATTAAGTGAGACCCCTCTCGCCTGGCAGGAATCCACGCCAAACCATGGATATCTTCCAAACGGCAAATAGCACTTCTCCATTAATAAAATATCAGACAAATGTATCCACTAAATTAGGTAAATGACTTCAAACTGGCTTTTATGTTTTCGCAAACTAAAAAAGGGACATCCAGAGCTATAAATCAAAGCATCATTCCCAGAACCATCTATGATACAGTAATACCATTTTAGTTCTTTTTAGCTGATGTGCTCAATTCTAACCCAATAACAGTAATGGATATGAAAACATGGAACTCAGTCCAGGAAGGTAATTGGAACATAAAAATGGAATTTTTAAGTAGCAATGATAATACACAATAATGAAACAACCAAAGCAAGGAGACTGGGAGTTAGAGGAGTATTTTACATTCTCCTTGCGCTGGTGGATAAGGAACAGACTGTCTTGTGTCCAAACTGGATGGTGCATTTTGGGAAAGCTGGGTGACCTCCAGCCTAGCTTGCTGGGGAATCAAAATACCACCCATTGGAGGTGACAGTAGCAACATTCCACAGCATTGTTCTCTAAATATTTCCACCTCATCCAAGCATATGACAATGACTCAATTAGGTGTGCACAAATTTGAAATGAATAAAGAACATAAACATTTAAGAAACCTGACTAGTAAGAAAAACTATAGGGGATTTCTACAAAAAAAATAAGGCACATTATAAAAATTGCAGGTGATGGATGCTTTCACAGTTTTAGTGGCTTTATTTGTGTAAGGATTGAAAGCTGGATCAATTTGTTTTCTAAAAATGAGTTGCAGTTAATGAGAAACCAATTTCATCAAATATAGTTAGAATGAACTGGACAGATCTGTCAATCTGATAGCCTTGAGAAAACAAAATTTAGTTAAGTCTGCATACTTTTAGAAACCTTTTATTTTGCTAGATCATATTCCAAGGAAATGATAATGACATGCTATTGCATTCAGAGATATATTTAAGTGAGAAAAACAATCTAAAGTTGGTATTACCTAATTCATTATAAAATTAGGTGTACACAGATTTGAAATGAGAAAAGAACAAAGTTAAGTGAACAAAACAATTCAGTTGATGTGTTTTACTACAGAGAGAAAATAAATGTAATATTTTCCAGTTATAAACTATAATATAAAAATATTTTGAAAATCTAATAAAAATTTATTTACCCTCTTCATAGACACATTTTTCCCCCAGGAATTCCAGTGTCTTTTTTTCTGTTTCTTATCTTTTTTCACATATTTTATACTATATATTTTTTTAAATCAAGGTGATTCTGAAAACCAACTCTAAAGGGATATAGCTCTGAAAATATTTTAATAAAATAGCCCCACCCTGGGTTTTTTAGGATTAATTTTCCTCCAACAGAAGAAAAAATAGCTGTAATAAATGTTTTATTAAGGAACCATTTTTATTCACCTAAACATATATTTTAATGTCCATCTGTAACCCCAGAAAAGATATTTTTAAATATAAATGCTGACACAACCTTAATTACAGAGGCAAAAGAGGTGATGCTGTTATTTTATGTTACAAAGAATGTTGGAGAACCAGTTTAGCTTTATTAGGTCTGCTTGCCATACAGTAATAAAATCATAAAGATTTACCATTTATCATTTCTGACATCCAATCAAGGAGTCTTCCATTTCTTAATGAAATGTGACCTCCACAATAGCTCAAAGTAAATGTTTTTGCTCACCTCCAAACTTCTCACAACACATACCAGTTTAAAAGAGAGCTTTCAAGATTGCAGAATAATAGTACATTTACTCCAATCTCATATCTAGAACTTTTTTTAAAGTAGTGTTTTCATTATCTATCCCACAACAAACTAGGGGTCCTGTGTTTGCTTATGAAAAATATCACTTAAGGGGAACCCTGAATTAATTACATTGACCTTCAGATATATTGTGACTACTTACAAAGTCCGAAGTTTAGGCATATGGTTGAAACTGGCCACAGAGAGTCTGGTAATGTTGTTATTGTTAAGAGTGCTGTAGAAAAAAAAAGTAAGACAATTTTAGATGTGAAAGTTTATTGCTCATTCTACATGTAGAAACAGGGAGAATTTCTTATCACTATGGTTAAGCAGGGCAATTACCCAGCAGGGATGGCATAAAGGCACTGAATTATACACAAGATGACGAATGCAATTCACACTTTAACATATTAACATGCATTTAATTTTATCAAATATGTATTTTAAATTTAAGCCTTTTGCAACAGATCTTTGCCTATGTACATGTTTTACATACTATATGCCTGCATGTCTATTTATGATATTGGTTAAGGAATGAGCACAAGACCATCATGATTGGAAAAAGTGAGCCTTCAATGCACACTACAAGTGTCCACTGACATATGAATATATTTGAATTCTCCAATTGAATTATTGCAGCAATAGCATAAACAGGGACCTAAGTCCCTGTTGAAATTTGAGTAGTAAGAACAATAGCTATATTTGCTCCCTGCATTGGCTGGGGACAGAGTGTCATGATGTGGTGGTGCACTCAAAACTGTAATCTACCCCACCAATCTTTAGTTGCAGCTGCAAATCCTGCCTTTAGTGTAGTGCTGTGTGGGAGTGGTGTCTTGAGTCGGGAAGGTGGCATTGTGGGAGGCAGAGTGAAGAGAAGTATAATTCTTCCACGGTTCAAATTTTTCCTACTTTTCCCCTAAGACAAGAAATAGTCATTATATTATTGTTATTATTTCTTTTTATTCTATTCTTCCTACTGCTCCTCCTCCTCCTCATTCATCCATCAAATATTTCCTGAGTGGCTTTTATTTTATGACAACGTGGATTATTATAAAAAATAAAGAAATGAATCAGGCATACGTCCTGTCCTAAAATAGCAGATGGTTCAGTTGGGGGATGTACTGCAAGAGTCACAAAAACTTAGAGTTAATAAGATTCAGAAAAGAGATACATTTATTTTTCTCCATTTGGAGAAGTGCAGCTGTGACAAGCACATGAGAAGACAGTTGTGGCAGGGGTGTGTGGGCAGAGGGGAGGTGGGCATAGCTGGAGCATAGAGGAGATGCTCTATGCAGGCCGAGAAGCTCAGGGAAGTGGACAAGGTCAACGGTGCAGCTGGATGGAGTATGAGACTGCAGAAGAGTCTGGAGAAGAGGTTGGAAATCCCCTTGTCTACAGAGGCCAGGTCGGAAACATGAATGAGAGAAGCAGGTTGTGTGTAAGGAAATGCCATGGAGAAAAGACAGATGGAGAAGCCTCGCAATGGGGATGAGCGGACCTGTGGAAGCCAGCAGTGATTTGTCCGTCGTAGTAGGTATCAGGCAGCTCCAGTTGACTGCTGCTTTGCTGTGATGGAAGGCTGCCGAGCAATTTGATTTTCCCAAGAGAAGCCAGACATGGAAATTTTTAGATGGACCGTCCTACTATTTAAATACCGGCAACTGACTCAAATATTTCAAAGAGTCTGCACACCCGGTCTGTTTGGGCTCAGCAAGATACACTGGCCTACTTTGGGCCAGTTGGTGGCAGTGGTTATCAATGGAGGGATATGAGATGTTTAGGGTCTGAGGGATTAACTTAAACTTCTCAGTAAAGTAGGGCACTGTGGCTACAAGTCTAGAACACATACTGTCTTGCATTACTATCCAGTTTTGCAATGTACTGAATGATATAAGAACTAATCCAAGTGATTTGAATTAAGTCTCATAAAAAAAAAATCCCACATTAAGAAAGACCTATAAAGCATTGAAGTTGTTGGCTCACGTTATCTAAAAGCCTCTAGCATTTTCTTGCACTCAAGCAATATGAGGTGTTTTTTTTTTAAAATGCCATTAAAATATATCCTGATGTTTGAACTAAAAGGTTTCACTTCTCAAAGGGATTTGCTTTTAAATGACTCCATTCCCACCCTGAAAATTTATGCTGACATTCTATGGCTAAAATCTTCACAGTACAAAGCATACTGAAACGTGACTTTGGGGCGAACATTTTTTATAAGTAATTCATACTCAGCAGACATGCATTAATTTTGAACTATCGTTTGTTGTGAATTACACAAAAGAGAGTTTTCACTGAACACTGAAGCCAGTGACTATCGATTTGAAGTCTTTCCTCAAAATGCGAATTCACATACAGTCATGAAAGAAATAAATTATCTTAGTATTTTTATGTAGTATGCAAATGTATATATTGACCTATATATTTGTGAGCATTTTTTCCCTGTATACAAGCAAGTCTATTTCTATGGTCAACCTCAAGATTTTCTCTTTGTAATGAGAATGATTTGCTGTACAAAGGACATTTCCGCGCGCTAATATGAAAGGCTCATCTTGGTAATCCTGTAGGCTTCTTGAACTTATGTCTTGACTTATTTTTTATATCTTTAATGTCAAGCACAGGATTTGGCAGAGCGTCTGATATTTAATGGTTAGGAATCTCTCTGTTTCAATTAAATGATGCTCATTCTATGGAAAAGAAAAAATAATAAGCCATCTAAAATTAGTCATTCAAAGGATATATTATTTCGTTTCTGACATTAGAAGCCAAGAAAAAGAAAACATAGACTTATATTCAGTTTGCAATGTTATTTTTGACATGGTATCTGCAAATTAAGAAAATAAAGTTTGAAATCTTACCAACTGGAATTCTGCAATAAAATCATTTTGCAATATTACCATGTAAGCGCTAAACAGCCACTTTGCTTTCATGTACCTTAACTTTTCCTTCTTAATCTTTACACCCTCTCTCGCCTTCTTTCCATCCTTATGCCCTCTCTCCTTCCTTCTCTTCTATCTGTCTCGACTATCCATCTTAATCTAACATATTTTTTATTACTGCTGCAGGAGATTTACCCCCATATTTTCCTGTTTAGCCTCAGCATACTCACACATTCACAAATGGTTCATGGAGCTAAAATTTAAAAAAAAAAAATCTTATACGTTGGGAATCTGAAATTTTAGGTGATGTCCAATTTAATGCTTCTTTATAATTTTCACCTAAGAAGAAAATTGCCCTAAGAGTGATAAATGATAAAATTTGAGGGTAACTTTTTTTAAGAAGCCCCCAACCAGATCTTTACAATAGGTGAACTTTTGATTTACTTGACGAGAGATTTGGATTTGATAAAATCCAAATTGTCTAGTATTTTATCCAATTTTGCCTTAAATTTTTCATCAATGAATTTTCCTCAAGGTGGTATATTATTATGAAGATTTTAAAAATAGCATATATTTGAAATACTGCTTGACTTTAAAATTTTTAATATAAAATATTTAAATCCTTTTGAAAGAAATTCACATTTTCTTTTATCATGTGCTGATTTTAGTTAATTTCTTTAGTAAACAACCATTGACAGTTCTATGTCTCTCTGAGAACTATATATTAAGGGCCTCAAAAAAGTTCCCAACATTTTGGGTTTTAATTTTAATTCCATGAACTGTAAGATGTTTATCACTCTTTGGTGTATTTCATGATAGTGGGTCTTGTTAAAGTCACATTTTAGATATTTTGCTAAAACCATGAACTAAATGTATGGGGTCACTATGTTTTTATGAACACAATCCCTCTAAATAATGATATTAGTTGGTAACAAATAAGCAAATGCATAGTCATTGTGTTCGTGGGTAAAGGCCAGCACATACTGGGCACAGGGCAGGCTCTGTATTTATATATATATATATATATATATATATGTGTGTGTGTGTGTGTGTGTGTGTGTGTGTGTGTGTGTGTGTATGGAACTCAAATATCTGAATATATTTTATATATACACACATATATGAAACATCCCACAGCTAATAAGTATTTAAGCTCTTCACTTAATAAGAACGTGCCTTATGGCATTTTAATCCATCCACAACATTTAGAAAATTTTCCATAAGTTGACTGACCGCGTTCATATGCCCAGTTTGGAGCACTGGATTAGTAAACATGTTTGAAGGTTTGATGAACTTCGTCTACTTACATAACACCTGCGGTGGTCCCGTCATATGCAAAGTGAAATGATACTACGATTTTGGTACCAGACTACTATCATGAGATCATTGTTGTATCTTAATTATTCTGACCCTGAAATAATACCGATGTTCCTAAATTTAAGATTTTAAATTTGAGATTTTAAATTTAAGATTTTAAATTTAAAAAGTGGCCCCATAATTAGCATGGACATGGTAAGTACTTTGAATGTTTTTCCTGTAGAATAAGTTAGACTGTAGTCTACAGAAACAGAAGGGACCTCTGCTGTGGTTAGAAAGCAGTGTATGTTCTTACAAAACAGTATCTGAGTCAACGCGTCCTTACATGTCTTTAAAAATAATAACATCACATGATACAGCTAGAACTTTGAATAATTTTTACACAATTCAAACCAAAATTATACAGAAAATATTGCTAGCATAAGAGAAATATTAAACTTTTCCAGAATGACATTCTGGTTCTCAAACGCAATTTACAAAGCAATGGAATATTTTTTCGAGGATTTAAGAATTCTGGATAACTTTAAAAGTGAACTAAAAATGTAAAACCTCTTCACACGGAATTTAATTTTGGATTTCTGAGTAAATTGAGTCAAGGGTAAATTATGACATAAAAACTATTATATTTCGGGGAGAAATGTATAAGTATATAAACTAGAAATGTTAATCTTTCAGAAAAAAAATCCCATGAATATATTGGTGGCTTACAAGTTCTTAGTAACTCTAGTTTCCATGAAAATAATTTTTATTATAATTAATCATTTCATTAAAATTGTTTTCTTATGTCAAAAGTCTGTAGAGATTACTCAGTTGGCTCTAACCAATTTTGTCAGCCATGTCTACCCAGCAAGGAAAGAGAGAAGAAGCCAATTACAATTCAAATCTGTGTGTTGTGCTTTACAAAGTCAGTAGGGAAGACTTTAAAACGGGTCAAATGGGTGGTTTATAACAACTAGCAAGTACATTCCAAAATAGCCTTACAAAGATGTGAACCAGTTACCTGGTTAAAAACAACAATTTAAAAGGAGCAAACATCTTTATATTACATAGACACTGAAAATATACCAACATGTCAGTTACTAAAAGGTTCATTTTTTTTGTTTTCATTTTCCCTAAATATGATGTTCTCCTCCTATACAGCAATTCAGGGATTTCTCACACATCCCATAAATGAGAAATGCTTTATTGTAAGAAGAAACACTTCAGGGAGAATATGCGTGACTATCTGAGGATCCTTCTTAAACAGTCATCTCTAGTTAAACATACAGCCACCAGGTTTTGTCCCTACATTTCAACTCTGGTCTATAGCCTCCCTGCATTCATCTCTGTAGGAAGGTTTTGCTTTAGCAGATCATTTCAACACGAGATTTGAGGCTGGCAGATAAGCTGCCACATTCATATTCTCCAGACACAAAGCTCCTGGTGCAAGAGTAAGAGAAACAAGCAGTACTCACAGCACTTCCAGGTCCCGGAGAGCTCGAAATGCCCCGTCTTCGATACAGCTGATCTGGTTGTAATCCAGTTGCCTGTGAAATAGATTAGAAGAATAGATGTAAAAACCTCAGACTAGCAGGGTTTGGCGAAAGCCTGTCTCCTGGAGGCTCCAGGAGACCCAGGCCACACGAACTGAAATGCTCACACACACACTTCATCTGCTTAAGAATGTCACAAGCCATCCTGGTCTGGATGCCTCCACTGAAATCTCTTTTTGTTCTGAACTGTCTGTGCAAATAGCAGCCCTTGGAAAGCTCCAGTAAATAATAACTGCACCTTATATTAAATGCCATAGGAATGCAATTTCATTACATCAAGAAAAGCTATCCATTAAGAGCTTTCAGCGTCATCTTGCTGAAACAATTTCATTAAGGTAAAGGCCTGTAAATCACTTAATGTCACAAGCACCCCCTCAGTGACCTAACGGAATCCATTTATCAGAGAAGCCCAGCTGCATGTTAATTTCACTATCCGTGGCAAGAAAAAGCAAGACTACTTTTAGGTTTTCTTCTTTAAAAAGCAGTTTTCCTTCGAAAACTCCAAATCGAGAAAGAGAAACGACATCCCTTAGAGCTCCCTGCTCTTTCCAACCAGAAATATACTTTCAAAAGCTAACAGTTATTCTATAGGAATATAGACTATTCTCATTATTTGCATTATATGGCATTATATGTGATTTTAAAACATAGTAAATACAGTATATTTTTCAGTTAAATAAGCTTCCCAAATTACCCCACTCTCTAGAAAGTACTTTTTAAAATAAAATATCATGCTTTTCTCAAAGATGCCAATTTCAGCCCAAATAGTAAGAAACAAATACTACAGCAACATGGTTAAAACACTACTTATATGTAGGGTAAAAGTTTAAAAATTTTATCGGTTTATGCTAAATGATAGAAAATTCAAATAAAGGAACCTTCTCTGGTAGTTCAAACACATTTGTTGTTAAAATTCAAAGATGAAAAAAAGAAAAGCTGTTTCAAACTTGGTCAAGTCTGCTTTTTTTCTGCCATTTGTCTTTGGAATTAGAATTTCCTCATTCATAGTTGGTTGAAATGAATAGTTAAGTATTCAATCCTCTCTGTTATCCTTTTATTCTCTACAAATAAGCTGTTGTGTTTTAAATCAAGTTGCTTGATGCTTAGCGATATTGTTATTCCAGTAAAGAAAAAGTGCTTTAATGCTTCACTTGAGGTAGAAACAAGATGTTTGATGAAATAGGTGAGTTGTCAGCTCTAAATGCTTTGGGAAAGAATGTATATGGCCATGCTCATCATAAAAATGAATCCGGTCCTGTTTCAAGTTCAGAATTCAGAAAAAGAGCCAATTCACACTTGACTTCTGTTCTAAAAGAACAGTTTAAACATTCCCATAAAATCTGTTTCCCTTACAAAACTACTGAAAAAAGGTGCAATGATTTTATCCAGTGACTTTCAGTGGGGCCTCCTCAAATTCTTTACTTTAGAAATTACGGACATAAAGAATCCCTCATGAAATATACATCTCATTTTTAAGAAGGTCTCTAGGGGCCACGATCTTAGACAGGATGTCATGCAAATGGTACATTGTAAGACATGTGATATAAAAAAAAGCAACCCCCAGAGAAGTTGCCATTTTATTGCTTTTATAACGTTAAGGTTTTCTCCAAATAATAACTACCATCCTCGCTACTGTAATTGCCTAAAACATTTTTCTACTTATTAGGAAGTAATGCAGATGTATAATTTTATTTTCTAAGACTTTTAAAGCCTCATGATGTAATATGACTGTTGCAGTTCCAAGAAGACACTTACATTTTGGAGCACTTTTGATTTTTTAGATTAAATTCATTTAACAATTAACTTAATAGCCTTTTTATTTTAAAGTTCTAAATATATATCTACACTACTATTCTCTAACCTCTTGAACAATTTATCAAAGCCATTTAAATTAGTACAATGGCATGAAGTGTTACCCTTGACACACTACAAAAGAGAAATTGTTTCCAGACAAATTGGCAAAATCTTTTAATGCTATCAAATTTGCCTAATGCAGTCTCCAGGTTAATCTGTAAAAGGGTGAGCTGTGTGTTTGCCCATATCTTATTATCCTTAGCTGTCAATGTATAAATCAGTGCTGACACAGCTTCTTTTAAATCATGCACACTATACACAAAGTGGAGCTCCGACCAAGCCAGAAAGCACTCAAGCGGATCTTGTCCTACAAGGACGGAAAGGCTCATGATTTCAGTCAAGCACCAGAAGTTGAGACACGGCTTGAAACTTTGGTGATTTCATCCCTCTTGAACACTGCTCCTAGTTACATGCTTCTATGGCTTCTTAACAGAATCCTAAGCCCTGATTGGCGCTACAGCATTAAGAATACTTGATTACTCACATAACCACAGTTGCCCTTAACAGTTTTCAAAATGCCATCATATCTCAGTTTGTCTGTCTTCCCAGAAGGCAGGTATGGGATGAAAAAGTTACCCACAAGAAAGGGCAATCCAAAGCAAACAAGGGAGTTATTTTTTCATCAATTGGTGGCTTTTGTTATAGTCGATGGAATGTTTATGGAAAGTGATGGGCTCAGGAGAAAATCTCCCACACAAACCTCCATTTGTCTGCAAATGGCTCAAGGTAAACAGTGTCAAACCTCGGTCCAAGCACAATTTATTTCAGGGTTTCTGGACAGTTTTTCTGCATCTTGTTTCTCTCATTCTGCAGCTTCCTTCTTCACTACCTTTCAATCCCTGGGCACTCTTTCTGTAAACAGGAAACGGTCTGTTCTCAGCCAGGCATTTAGTGAACGGGCTGACCTTGGAGATGCTATTTCCAATTGTGCCATGAAATTATTCTGAATTAAGGAATGGGCAAGAGGAGAGATGTTTTTCATGACTCCAAAGAGTGATGTTACAAATTCTAGAGAGGATGCATGGTAAATTTGGGAACTTGGGGATATTATGGGCATGAAGGATAACAGAGAGAGCTTTGAGATTCTTTTCTGGTATAAGGAGACTTCCAAAGGGGAAGCAAAACAACATTTCTCTATTTCCCGGAGAGAAAGAATGTACAGTGAGTGTCCGCACAGGGTTCCTTCAGCTCCCCAGGCGAGAGATCCTGGCACAGATTTTCTGTCTTTTCATCCCCATTTCTTAGCTCCAACCCTCCTTGATTCTGTTCATATTCTAAATGCTTTCTCCATCTAAAACTCCTTCACCATCCTAGTTTGTAAGGGTGTATTTTAAAGCAACTGCTGTATCTTCAATTTTAGGAAAATGACTGTGTTAAGAAAAAGAAGAGCGGCTCTTCAAGCTGGCTGTCGGCAATCACATTTTATGATTCTCTTTTCAGGGGCAGCTACTCCTCTTCTGATGCTCTAGAACAATTTTCATGTTTACTAGCACTGGTAAATTTAGTCTTAGACATTGAGTGTGATCACAGAATCCCTACCAGCAAGAGGTGTTACTCTGTGCTTCACACAGTCATTATTTCTAAGGCCTGTCTGTTTTCTTTACACTAAAAATAATTTAATCTTGTTTTAGATCTTGATTAATTCTAGGTATGAGAGCATAGATGTAATGTCGCTAAATATAAATTTTAAAAATAGGGCAGTAAATGACAAAAAGGCTGAACAGTTACTTACAAGGCATTGTGAAATATTGTGGAGAAACTCCCTCCTTTCCTTTAAAGTTTTTTTTTTTTGGGGGGGGGATTTCCTGTTTTCATTTTTTTACAATTTGGAGACCATATTGTGTTTCAGTACATACATAAAACTTACCTTCCTGCATTAACTTTAGACAACACATATTTCTTAATGCAGCATCTGAATAATAAGATCTTATTACTAATCGTTTTTCTTTTGGTAAGAATTAGAACACTGTCAATACATTTAATTCTGAGATAATACTGAACATGAAAGGGCTTTAGTGATTTCTAAGCTAGGCCACGGCTCTCAATGTCTCAACAAAATTAGTCTGGCGGTGTTCTGGTGTTCCTGTTTTCCTTTAAGGTACTGGAAATAGAAATTCATTTCCACATTCCTATTGCTGTTGTAATATGGCAAGTTCCAAAACTTTAGTTGACACAAAACACATTTAATTGATGAGAACAAATGTGAGTGAATAACATTTTGCTACTTGCAAAGAACCCTGATGAAACACATATTTTGAAAGGCAGAACAAGAGAAGATGCCGTGAAGGACACCAACACATTCTGTGCCATTTCTTTCCTTGTATGTATCAATTCAAGTCACTGTAGTGCCTAATGCACCAGTCTTATGCTGATCGTGATTTAATTCTGAGATAATACTGAACATGAAAGGGCTTTAGTGATTTCTAAGCTAGGCCACGGCTCTCAATGTCTCAACAAAATTAGTCTGGCGGTGTTCTGGTGTTCCTGTTTTCCTTTAAGGTACTGGAAATAGAAATTCATTTCCACATTCCTATTGCTGTTGTAATATGGCAAGTTCCAAAACTTTAGTTGACACAAAACACATTTAATTGATGAGAACCAATGTGAGTGAATAACATTTTGCTACTTGCAAAGAACCCTGATGAAACACATATTTTGAAAGGCAGAACAAGAGAAGATGCCGTGAAGGACACCAACACATTCTGTGCCATTTCTTTCCTTGTATGTATCAATTCAAGTCACTGTAGTGCCTAATGCACCAGTCTTATGCTGATCGTGATTGTGTAAGAATAGTCTGAGACCTAAGTTATAAAAATAGAGTAAGAATACTGGTGGTAAATCCATATAAATGAATCTCTCAGGCGTTTCAGCAGCCATATCTCTGGTCTCAACACAACAGCAGTCAGTGTTAAGCTGGGCATTGGTAGAGAAAAGCAAGGTAAAGACTATACTGAGGAATCAAAAATAATTAAAATTATTTGAGAATTAAATAATGTTTCAAGTAATAATTTGGTTTTTTCCCACAGGAATAAAAATATCTGAATTTTTTACTGGGGTAATTTATTGCATAAAGTTATATCCACTTGCTAATATGTTGGGAGGAAACTAAAGTTTGCTCAAAGAGAGAGAACAGAAATTGG